ACAAAAAAAAGAGGCCTGGGCGCAGTGGCTCACGCCTGTAATCCCAGCACTTGGGAGGCTGAGGAGAGCGGATCATGAGGTTCAGGGATTGAGACCAACCTGGCCAATATGGTGAAACCCCATCTCTACTAAAAATCACAAAATCAGCTAGGCATCGTGGTGCATGCCTGTAATCTCAGCTACTTGGAGGCTGAAGCAGAAGAATCGCTTGAAACCTGGGAGACAGAGGTTGCAATGAGCCGAGATGTGTGCCACTGCACTTCCAGTGACCTGGGCAAGCGAGCGAGACTCCTTCTTAGAAAAAAAAAAAAAAAAGAGGCCTGGTGTCTTGGCTTATATCTATAATCCCAGCAGTTTGGTGACTATCTGTGGTGGGAGGATCACCTAACCCAGGAGTTCAGGACCAGCTTGGGCAACATGGCAAGACCCCATCTCTACAAGAAAATTTTTTTTTTCTTCACCAAAAGCAGATACTTGAAAAAATTTAAGAATTAGAGAGCACAGTGGCGCATGCATGTAGTTCCCAGCTATGATTGCTTGGGCCTAGGAGGTTGAGGTTTGCTGTGAGCCCCATTTACACTACAGCATTCCAGCCTGGGAAACAGAGCAAGACCCTGTCTCAAGAAAATAATAATCATTAGACATAAGGGAAGTATAAAATCAAAGCCGTAATGAGATACCACTTCACACCCCTCTAGGATGGCTGTAATTAAAGGACAGACAACAAGTGGTTGACCAAGATGTGGAGAAGTTGGAACCCTCATACATTCTGGTGGATCTATAAAATGGTACAGTTCATTTTGGAAAACAGTTTAGCAGTTCCTCAGAAAGTTAAGTGATGCCCAAGTAGTGGTGGCTCACGCCTGTAATCCCAGTACTTTGGGAGGCCAAAGGCAGGGTTGGAGCCCTGAGCAGGAGGTTCAGGAGTCTCCCAGACCACTCAGCCCTGGCGCGACAAGAGCATGGCATCTAAACACCTTGCTCTAAGATATACTTAAAAATAATACCGGAAAAATTTTAAGCCAATGAGTGATGGTGGGCATGCCCCCTGTAACTTCCCAAGTATTCGTATGAGACTGAGTAGAGATGGGGTTTCACTGTATTAGCCAGGATGGTCTCGATCTCCTGACCTCGTGATCCGCCTGCCTCGGCCTCCCAAAGTGCTAGGATTACAGACGTGAGCCACCGTGCCGGCCTAGAGCTCTCTTTTTTTATAGACATCACACACAACACATGTAACTGCACAGACAAACAGAAGCAGATCCAGTAGTTACAAGATTTTCTGTTCACCAATCTCCTAATTGGACTATTGGCCTCGAGTGGGACCCTTTAAGAGCAGGGCTAGAAAAGCATGCAGTTTCCAGGGCCCAATAAACAGGGATAGCTGGAAGACAAAAACAGATTTTGAGGGGGACCTATCCGCTTTTAATTGCTGGGTTTTTATGAGAAAAACAGAGGTTTCTCCCAAAATGGCATGCATGGCACCTTTTCTGTTCTTCTCAAGGAGTCCCAGGCTATCAGAAATTATTTTAGGGCCCCTCATGCGTGCATTAAGGGTAGCAAGACAAAGCGGAGAAAAGGAATTCAGTCAACTGGGAAAAAAATCTTTTTCCAGAAAAACAAGACCAAAGAAGAGAAAAACATAAAGGTTTAAAAAATATTCACTTTTTTTGTTGTTTTTGAAACAGAGTCTCGCTCTGTTGCCCAGGCTGGAGTACAATGGTGCGATCTTGGCTCACTGCAACCTCCGCCTCCTAGGTTCAAACGATTCACCTGCCTCAGCCTCCTGAGTAGCTAGGACTACAGGCAAGTGCCAGCACACCCAGCTAATTTTTCTTGTATTTTTAGAAGAGACAGGGTTTCACCATGTTGGCCAGGCTAGTCTTGAACTCATGACCTCAGGTGATCTGCCCACTTCAGCCTCCCAAAGTGCTGGGATTGCTGGTGTGAGTCACTGCACTCGCCCCAGATATCCACTTTTTAAAAAAAATTTATATCCAGTGCTTTATTAAAGATAAATAGTCTTATAAGAGAAGTAATGTGTTCGCAGGCCAACAGAGAATGCATGTATATGAGAAAGAGATGTGTGAGGTCCCTGATCTGTGCTCTAAGGGAGTGGGCAGTCAGGCAGGGCCTTGGCCAAACAGTAAGGCAGATGAGGATCCCTATCCTGGGGGACTCACTGCTCCTGGGTGCCCCAGGAGATGTAATCTGGCCGTGTGGCCATGTGGTACTCATCCATGAGCTGCTGCACAATCTCCCTGGATGTGTCCATCTCATCAAAGTTGTCCTTGAACATGTCCTCCTTGCGAAACGGCTCCAGGAAGGCCTCCCTCTTCCGCAGCTTGTCATATTGGTGACAGGTTCTCTCGAAGAGTGAGGAGATGCTGGTGTGGTTGGCCATCATGAGCCCACTGACCCGGTGGGCCAAGGGCGGGTAAGGAGACTTCCTTGACAGGGCCACCTGGATGCTGGTGGGGCCCCACAGGATAAAGTTGGCCAACTTCCGTTTCTGGATCCTCTGCAGGTTCTTGTGGACCTGGGTGGGGTTCACGTCTCCCTGGATCGTGTTGAGGATGGTGATGTAGGAGTGGTTGGTGTGGTGGTCTCGGCCTGTGGACACCATCACATTCTTGGGCTGCAGCAGCTACGTCATGACATCCAGGACCGTGATCTTCCTCACACTGGCCACTGACTGGTCCATAGTTAGCAGGGTGTAGCCGGTCATGAGAAAGTGGAGCCATGGTGTGGGAATGAGTGAGGCGATGAGGCTGATGAGGTCATTGTTCATGTAGCCGGGGTAGTGCAGGGTGAAGGTGCTGGCTGACATGATGGTGGACACCAGCTGGTTGGTCTGAGAGAAGGATGGGTTCTGGATATTCAGGGGGTCTATGGCAATCTGGTTCAGGGCTGTGTTGTGCAGCACCACCACACAGTCTGCATTCTGCATCAGCCTCTTGAGTGTGAGGAGTGAATTATAAAGCTGGATCACCACATCGCTTATCTCGTCCTGGTTGAGAAACACTGAATATGTCTGCACCAGCTTCTTAGGATACCTATCATTCAGCCATTCTAAGAGGTAGGGGCCGAAGCCAGAGCCTGTCCCCCCAGCAATGGGCTGATACAGCACAAAGCCATCTAGATTGTCACTACCATCTGCCTCTCAGTCTATGATGTTAAAAATGTCCTCATGGAGCTTCTCTCTCTGGGAGAATCTGCTGGCCCAGTTGTTGCCAGCTCCTCCTCCATGCTCCAACAGGTAGATGTTCTCTGGGTTGTAGAGCTTGGGATAGGGGGAGTTGAGGATGGAGTGGATCACCCGGGGCTCCAGGTCCAGCAGCACGGCCCAGGGGATATAGTGCTCATCTTCTGCCTGTTAGAAAAAGATGTCCTTGTGGTCAGTGCCCTTGATGGCGAACTCCTCTACAGTACCCTTGGGGCTGATACCATGCTCAGTGCACAGCTGTTTCCAGAACTCTAACCCAATCTGATTGCCGCACTGGCCCAACTGTAGGGTGATGATTTCCCTCGGCATCACTCCTCAGGTGCCGGCGTCGCAGCCGCTCCCACCCACAATGCCACCGCATGCCAGCCCCCCAGATATCCACTTTTAGTTAAGCCGAACTCTCTTTAAGAAAATCCTATTTTGGGGTCTGGGTGCGGTGGCTTATGCCTGTAATCCTAGCACTTCGGGAGGCTGAAGTGGGCAGATCACTTGAGGTCAGGAGTTCAAGACCAGCCTGGCCAACATGGTGAAACCCCATCTCTACTAAAAATACAGAAATTAGCTGGAAATCACTTGAACCCGGGAGGCGGAGGTTGCAGTAAGCCAAGATCGTGCCACTGCACTGTAGCCTGGGCAACAGAGCAAGACTCCATCTCAAAAAAAAAAAAAAAAATCTTTTTTTTTTTTTTTTGAGCTCTATTGCCCAGGCTGGAGTGCAGTGGTGTGATCACCACTCACCGAAACCTCTACTTTTTGGGTTCAAGTGATTCTCCTGCGTCAGTGTCCTGAGTGCCCAACTATTTTTTGTAGTTTTAGTAGAGACAGGGTTTCGCCATGTTGCCCAGGATGGTCTAGAACTCCTGACCTCAAATGATCCACTTGCCTCAGCCTCCCAAAGTGCTGGGATTACAGGCGTGAGCCACTGCACCCAGCTCTGTTTTTGTTTTGTTTTGTTTTGTTGTTTGAGACGGTCTTGCTCTGTCACCCAGGCTGGAGTACAGGGCACAATCATGGCTCACTGCAGCGTCAACCTCCTGGATTCAACCAATCTTCCCTCCTCAGCTTCCTGGATAGCTGGGACTACGTGCCACCATGCCCAGTCAATTTTTTATTTTTTGTAGAGACAGGGTCTCACTATGTTGCTGGAATATAGGCATGAGCCACCACACCTGGTCAAGAAAATTCTTTTAAATCCTTTATTACCCAACAACATTAGCCATGCCAAGCAGCCAATATTTCTGGCTTTTGAACATTACCAAAGATAACCTCCCAGGTGTTCAGAGAAAGGAAAATTTAAGGTGGTTCATGAAGGGGAAGAGAATCAACAAATGATAAAGGACACAAAGATATCAAACCAGAAAGGACTCATTCCCTAAGCCAGGATTGAACCCGGGCCACCACTGTAAAATGGCAGAAGCTAAAACAAAGCACTGCCATGTGGTTACAGGTCACACTTCCAAGGACGTAAAACCAGATGGAGGCCTGCAGCAAAGTTTGCCACTGGCCAGCTTGCTGGGCTTGCTTCAACAACAGGCCTATGGAGTCCTAGACCCACATCCCATCCCAAGGTACCCCCCTTTCTGACAGAACTATACGGAGAGACATGCAGAGCACACCAGATTGGCTACAGCTTAAGGCCAACCTCACAAATCCTTTTTTATTAATTAAAACTTTACAGATAATATAAACAGTGATCCTTATTCCCTTTCTAGTTTGTACAGGGAGAGAGAGGTCAAAATCCTGACTGGTTTAAAAAAAAAAACAAAAAAACTCCTACCCTTTTGCTGACATGTCAGGCTTCTGGGTTCCCTCCCTGCTGATCTCAATTCCAAGCCAACCAGTTAAGGTTTAGGAAATTAACTTCTCCCAGTTTGGAGGATACATCCCAGGAGATCATCCTGCAGCATGGGAACACAATTGCCCATCTGTAAAGAGAGGACAGAGGAGGAGAAAGGAATAAGAAGGCATTTATTTAAAGGAGCCCCAGGACTCAAGATGCATTTGAAAGATGTATGGCTACTCATCTAGAAAGAGGGGAGCAAGGCATCCCTGGTTCCCTTCTCTTCCTAGCAAATACCCAGGGTACGTGAGGGAGAGAAAGCGAGGCATCCCTCTTTCTTTTGTCCTTATATCCCTGAGTCCTGGCAACCATGACAGGATGCCTCCCACGGGTGTCAAAGTGGCTTTCACCCATGTTAAGTGGGAGTGGGGTAGAGAGTGGGATTATCTTATCTTACCCCTATATGCCCTATCTCCTCTGCTGTCAATAGTCTTTGCATTCCGTATACCTCATTGATGCCTTGAATACTAGCATAACCTTTATCCATGAAATGAGGCTTAGTTTAATTGGCAGAAATTAGTCATGCTCACCTGCACTGTGCCTTTTAACTTCTGTTGTCATCTGCCTCTGGATCCCTCAGGTCCAGTTTTCTTTCCTAGGGCTTCGACCCAAAGCTTGGAATTGAGTTTGGGTTAAAATAACTTCCTCAGGATGTTGCACAGACTCCTTATCATAAGCTGAATGCTAAGGTCAAGCTGTGGAATTGAGTCCTTCTCCAACAAGGAAAAGAAAAGGGTGTCTTGGGAGTTGGGATCCTAGCCGAGTAAAACATCTTCTAAAAGGAAAAAAGCCTCTAGCATAGAGAAGCCCCCTCTACTTGCAGGGCTGTGTTATCAGGTTGGTACAAAAGCAATCACAGTCCTTGCCATTCTAAGTAATAGCAAAAACTGCAGCTACTTTTGCACCAATGTACTCCTGGCCTGGTGGAGAAAAGGAAAAGAAAAACAGCTTAAATGCAGGGCTGTGTTAACTACTGACAGGATGGAGAAACGAAAAGATGCCCGGGGAACAAACCTCTTATTCTTATGCAAATGAGTTTCTCCAACAGGAAACTTTTTTTTTGAGATGGAGTTTCGCTCTTGTTGCCCAGGCTGGAGTGCAGTGGCACAATCTCAGCTCACTCCAACCTCTGCCTCCCAGGTTCAAGTGATTCTCCTGCCTCAGCCTTCTGAGTAGCTGAGATTACAGGTGGATGCCACCATGCCCGGCTAATTTTTATATTTTTAGTAGAGATGGGGTTTCACCATGTTGGCCAGGCTAGTCTCAAGCTCCTGACCTCAGGTGATCTGCCCGCCTCGGCCTCCCAAAGTACTGCAATTAAAAGTTTCTCGGCTGGGTGCAATGGCTTTTAATTGCTGTTTCTACCCTGGGGTTTGGACTGAGCTGGTCCTCTCAGCCAGAGGAGGGGAAGACTCCATGGTATGTGGCGTGGAACACTGGACAGACAGCTGCATGGGACCCTTGGGCCAGGAGCCCCAGCCCCAGCTGGGAGGGGCAGGGAGCCACCACTTGCCCATCCTTCTCACGCATGCATCTGCAGCCATTGAGGTTGTAAATAAGTGCCATTACAGTCCTGCAAAAAGAAGGAAAGTGCCATAGAAAAGGCTGAGTTGGACCAAGGCTGACATGCCCAATCCCTGAGAGCAATGGGGTGAGGGGGTGCAGTTTCCTTTATCCTCAGAAGAAGCCTGAGGACAAGAAGGCTCAGAAAGGAAAAGGAAACAGATTTTTTGGTGTGCATTTTACTCACCCCTCCTCATGTCCCTATGTGGGCCACCAAAATGATGCAGGATTTTTTGCTCCTTAGCTCTGCTAAAGTCTGGGTTCTTGTATCACAACTAGGAAAAATTAGGCACACAGACACATTGAAAGGTGAGGAGAGCACAATTTATTAAAAGAAAGCTCTCAGCAAAAAAGAGAGGGTCCTGCCAATAGGCTCCCACCTCACAGATTGAATACCAGGTCAACACACAGGAGCTGAAGAGGCCAGGCTCATCTCCCCGCATAAGGCATGAATTCCTGGTGGCTCCATCCCCATTCTTCCAGTGTGCATGCGGGCCGTTAGCCACTCCACACTGATTTCCCTTACTGCACATGTGTTAAGGGACAGAATTTTTCACCGTGGGCATGTTTAGGCAAGTACCCTGTGCACCACGACCTGTGTGGCATATGGCTGTCTCCTGTCTCTATCAGTAAAGAGACAGAAAACCTACAAAGAAACCAAAAAATAATTCTGGAGCTGAAGAGTATAATAACAAATAAAAAATGCACTGGAGGGATTCAAAGCAAATTTGAAGAGACAAAAGAATCTGTGAACTTGAAGATAGGACAATGGAAATTACCAAATCTGAGGAACAAAACCATCTGGGGATGTAGCCCAGTAGGTCTCAGCCTTATTTTACTCACAGTCTATTTAAGATGGAGTTGCTGTGGTTCAAATGCCTCTAACACAAGTGAGATGAACTCAGAGAGGAGACTCGAACTCCTGACCTCAGGTGATCCGCCTTCCTCAGCCTCCCAAAGTGTTGGGATTACAGGCGTGAGCCACCGTGCCTGGCCCTATTTATTTATTTATTTATTTGAGATGAAGTCTCACTCTGTGGCGCAGGCTGGAATCAGTGGCATGATCTCAGCTCTCTGCAACCTCCACCTCCTGGGTTCACACAGTTCTCCTGCTCAGCTTCCCAAGTAGCTGGGATTACAGGCATGTGCCACCACACCCAGCTAATATTTGTATTTTTAGTAGAGATGAGGTTTTACCATGTTCGCCATACTGGTCTTGAACTCCTGACCTCAAGTGATCTACCTGCCTTGGCTTCCCAAAGTGCTGGGATTACAGGTGTGAGCTACTGCACCTGGCTTGTCCAGTTTATTTATAGTGCTGTTCAGGCTGTCTATTTCCTTATGGTTCTTCTGTCTGATTGTACTGTTGTTGAAAGTGGGGTATTGAAGTTTCCAACTATTATTGTAGAAATCTGTATTTTTTCTCTTTAATTCTGTCAATGTTAGCTTCATATGTTTTGAGGATCTTTTGTTTGGTGCATACATGTTTATCATTGTTATGTCTTCTTAGTGAATTGACTCTTATCAATATGTAATGTCCTTTTTATTTATTTATTTTTATGAGAAAGAGTCTTGCTGTGTCACCCAGGCTGGAGTGCAGTGGTGAAATATTGGCTCACTGTGGTTTCAGCCTCCCAGGCTCAAGAGATCCTCCCGCCTCAGCCTCCTGAGTAGCTGGGACTACAGGTATGTACTACCACGCCTAGGTAATTATGTTTATTTTTTGTAAAGACAAGGTCTTACTATGTTGCCCAGGCTGATCTCAAACTCCTGGGTTCAAGTAATCCTCCCATCTCAGCCTCTAAAAGTGCTGGGATTAAAGGTATGAGCCACCATGTCAGGACTTTTCGAAAAAATATTTTAGTGTAAATTTTTAATAAAAAGATGGGACCAGGCATGGTGGCTCACATCTGTAATACCAGCACTGTGGGAGGCTGAGGCAGGTTATTGCTTCAGTCCAGAAGTTTGAGACCAGCCTGGACAACATGGGGAAACCTTGTCTCTACAAAAAAAAAAAAAAAAAAAGCCAGACATGGTGGCACATGCCTGTAGTCCCAGCTACTTGGGAG